TATTTCCAGAGTGCTGTTTAAAATTACAAAGTTGTACGCTATGTTTGCAACTACTGTTTGGTACAGGCACAATGCTTGTGATTGCCTTGTCACAGCCAATCAGAGTGGCTCTGTGCCGTGTGATTTTAATGATGGGCAATTTTAGCAATTACAAATGTAAACATAAAAGTATACCAACTCTCCCCTTCCTCTTTTACTCTGATCAGCAATGAAGTATACTATTGGCAAGTTAACCATAAAGGGGGCACAATGGCCACCACTGAGCAGTAAGGGGTGCACAGGGGGCATATTGTCCATAAGGGGCACAGTTACCACCAATGTTACAATGTTATTAGGGGAAACCGCCACTGACCACCAACAACTATAGGACATGCACCACTCATCACCAACATTTAAGATGGCACACATCAATAACCCCCAATATTTGAAAGGACACTCACCACCATAAGAGAGCACTACAAGTCCCTTTTATCATAGAAGAAGACTTGACCAATACACACTACCAAAATAAAGTTCCTTCAGGCTCAAACAAATGATCTAAAATTCATCTGGGTACGATGTCGCATGACTGAGTAATTGTCACCTGGCCCATAAAGCTGGTAGCAGTGGAATGTAAAGAAGTGGACGGGGATTTGAGTCTGGTATGGATTTTAGCGGTGGGGGGGGGGGGCTAAACAAAGTAAAAAAAATGTGGAGCCCACCAAAGTCTACACCAGACACTGAATGCATCCTGGCTGGGTTGGGAGAAGAGTGTGCTCTCTCCCTTCCCTGACCATAGCCCACCCCAAACAATGCCCTCAACATGGGGGGGAGGGGTACCTGGAGGGAACCCCCTGGCAAAGCACCTTGTCCTCACATTGATGAAGACAAGGGTTTCTTACGCCTCAACCCTGGTCTGGTGGTTATGGAGGTCTGCAGGTAGAGGCTTCCTGAATTACCTGAATGCTTTGCAGCTTCTCCTTTATTGTTTACATATCCCATGGTACCTTGCTACCTGTAAGCGGTGATTCCTGTTCTGACTCCATCTCCGGAAACTCTTCCTCTCAGCACCTCCATAGTTCAAAAGGCAGGTTCTGGAAAAATATGTGACACAACAGTGCCTTCCCACAGGGCATAGTGATTACATATCACAGAATTCAAGGAAGTAAGTGTGTGGGTATCTTCACAAAATAAATTTACAAATTTCAAGATCCTTCAAACTAAAAGGAGTAGGCTAGAAATAATAAAAATCCAACATGGAAATAAAAATATGATTTTACAGTTTAACCCAAGATAAGCTTTAAGTTTACAGAAATGATGAAGAGTGCAATGTGTTATATGGCTATTGTTATTATTCTTTGTTTGACTTTGCTCTCATTTTTGCAATAATTCTCCTGTTAGGTCCCAGTATGGTAACAATTTTCTTATTTAGGTCCTTGGATGAATAAGTTTAAGAATCCCTTTCCTAAAGTAAGTATCTTTGCAAAGTGACAACTCTCTACTCCCGTAGCAAAATAAACCCTTTTGAGTTGTCTTGAAAATAAAATTATACATTTTCTTTAACACTTAACCTAACCTCAGAAACAATCTCTTAGCTCTTAAATTCACACCAAATTAACCCCTTTTGTACCAAATACTCACTTTGTATTGTGTCAGGAGCGGTGTTGTCAAACCATCACTGTTCTGAGCTCAAACTCAAGCCAACTGAACTAGGTGCAGTGGAAGGAAAGCAATACCTGAAGTGCCCCACTGGCAGTGCTGCGACAAGGTCAACACTAGGGCAAAATTGTCAAACTTTACCCCCCCCCCCCCCCCGCAGTTTATCACAAATTAATGAGTAAAATAAAAAAAAAATTCAAATATAAATGAACATAGGCTTCATTAATTCAAAGCGGAACTCATGCATTTGAACCCCAATGCATTGGTGCCAGTTCCCGCAATAATAGCCCCCTGTATTGGAGCCAGTTTCCACAATAACAATAACCTGCATCGTTGGTACCATTTTCTGCAATAATGACCCCCAGCGTTGGTGACATTTTCTACAATAATAACCTTCAGTATTGGTGCCAGTTTATACAATAATAACCCCCATCACTGATGCCATTTTCTGCAATAATAACCCCCAGCATTGGTGCCAGTTTATACAATTCTAACCTCCAGCACTGGTGCCAGTCTATGCAATAAAATCCACCAGCATTGGTGCATATTTCTTAGATAATAAACCTCAACACTGGTGCAAGTTTCCTTAATAATACAATATTAATAATACTTAATAAAAATCTACCTGGATGTCCTCATCCCGCTATGACGTCACTTCATTGGCTGCTCCTGGTTAGTGGGAATCGCTGCTTATGACCAATAGTCTTATTAAAATGGATGGCTTTTTTACAGCTATGTGCTAGGACTGGCACTGGGGGAGGAGAGAGATGTACTGTAGATTCAGTACAAATGAGCTAGGTAATGCATTGTGTTTAATTCATACTTTACTGGGGGTTAAAAACTTTTTGTAGTACCCTTTCTATCCCTTCTTTTTAACTATGCACAGTCCAGCATTTACGCAATTATAATTCCCTTATGGATTTTACAGGCTGAAATCACTTACCATCAAAAAATGACAGTAGGCTTGACAGCCCCCTTTGATCTGCATGGCTTATGTTCCCCCTAGTGATTTATCTTATTTATGACACTTCAATAAGTACATCAGACTTGAAATAGACTTGGTGAATTGATTCTCTTTTTCATGTGTGTGTATGACAGACGTTCAATATTTGTAACACTTTTTTAAAGCCATATTCATATTTTGTGTCTCTTCTGCAGCCCAGCTTGCACGGTGTGGGACCTGCCCTTTGTTGTATGTGGGGAATTTTATCCACCGATTACACAGGTCTGCAAAAAATTTTTTTTCAAGAGCTGTTTTGGTTATTTTACGTAATCTTTATGTTTTTTGGTGCACTGAATCCAAAAATGACCTCCATTTTGTTATAGGACACCACGTTTCCTGACAATTTAGGTAACTGTTAAATAAAGCAATACCTCAAAATAAATGGAAATAGACTTCTAAAATTAAAGTTTTATTACAATTTTTTCATGAAAATCCTTTTTTGAACTGAAATGAGCTCACCTACACACACTAAACTCGATTCTTCTTCCCTGTGAGGCTCCTCTTGGTGCATTTACGCTTGTGAGTAGCATCTGGAACGTCTCTCTGAAGCATACAACAGTAGTCTGCCATCATTGTAATGCTCCATTTTCCCTGGTATCTCCTTTCCATCTCTTTAATGTCTTGGTGGAATCGTTCACCTTGTTCCTCACTCACAGCTCCCAAATTTTCAGGAAAGTAGTCAAGGTGGGACTGGAGAAAATGCACTTTCAAACTCATCGGCAACCTAAAACTTGAAATGCTTTCAGCATTCGTCCAACGATCTTTTTGTAGAGAGGATCTTTGTTATTGCCTAAAAATTTCTGTACAACTTCTTTAAATGCAATCCACCCTTCTTTTTGAGGATCCGTCATGGTATTGACAAACTCTTGATCAACTATTAGCCTTCTAATGTCTGGTCCGACGAACACACCTTCCTTCAATTTTGCCTCCGACAGGCCTGGAAACTTGGTGACCAAGTATTTGAAGCATTCTCCATCTCTTGGAAGTGATTTTATGAATTGCTTCATCAATCCCAATTCTATGTGGAGAGGTGGTAGAAGAACTTTATGGGAAGGTACCAAAGTTTCTCGGTGGACATTTATTTCACAGACTGTTAGCACCCTCGGCTGCCAACTCTTCTTGGTCCAGTGATTTTGTTGGTCTCGACTGTCCCATAGACACAGAAAACAAGGGTATTTGGTATCCCACCCACTGGATTCTTCAGTAAAGATTAACCCCTTCTACCATTAGAAGCACAGACTCAGGGCTGAGGCTTACACATACAGCATGCTGCTGAGTATCCCAGTAGTCAGACATGTCACTCAGAGTAGCACTTGTATTCACCCCCTTTTCAGGGGGGGGGAGGGGCAGAGATTGTTTACCTGCAAACAACAACAAAGGGCCAGAAGAGAACTAGGGAAATGAGGAAATAGAATTTTTTTTCCTAAAACTTGCTTAGCTTATGTATATATTGCTGACCATCAAATTTACAGTGCTATATTTTTTTTACATAACTCGGACAACCCCTTTTAAGTTTTTTTTGGCATTTTATATCTTAAATGCACTTATGTGAATTAATAGTAATTTGGACTTTAAATTTGGTTAAAAACGCATAATATAAAAAAAAATACCAAAAATTTAAAAAATTTGATAAATTTGAAGACAATTTTGCATTTTGTGGCAAATCGTGACATCTAGGAGTTTTTTCAATATTTTATTTGTTTTCAGCACACCAAAATACATAGAAATTAGATGAAAATAATCAAACAGCTTTTTAGTCGCAGACCTGTGTTATTATTTTTATCCATTTGTATGTTACTCTAGATCAGCGGTTCTCAACCTGGGGGTCGCCAACCCTTTGGGGGTCGAACGACACTTTCCCAGGGGTCGCCTAAGACCATCGGAAAACACATATTTCCGATGGCCTTAGGAACCGAGACACCGCTCCTCTATCCGACTCCAGGTGTGGGCGGGATGACATGCCGTCCCTGTCATCTGGACACACCCCCGGGATCAATCCTCGTCGGTGATTGGCCGCCGGAACTGTAGCTCAGGAGATGCACACAGGCGGCCAATCACCGGCGAGGAGGTGGAGCTTGGAATGGAGGAGCCGAGCGGAACCACGAAGATCGAGCGAGTGAAGAGGAGGAGAGCGGCCAGAGAAGGAAGACATCTGACCGGTAAGTGTCTGTACCATGGGAGAGGGAGGGAGCGAGCGAGCCCAGGCTGGAGCAGGGGTCAGCAAGGTAAGTATCATTGGTGTCAGTGGGAGGAATAGTGCCCAATCATTGGTGTCACTAATACCAATGATGGGGCACTATTCCTCCCCCCACTGACACTAACGATGGGGCACTATTCCTCCCCCCCACTGACACCAACGATGGGGCACTATTCCTCCCCCCACTGACACCAACGATGGGGCACTATTCCTCCCCCCACTGACACCAACGATGGGGCACTATTCCCTCCCCCCACTGACACCAACGATGGGGCACTATTCCTCCCCCCACTGACATCAACGATGGGGCACTATTCCTCCCACTGACACCAACGATGGGGCACTATTCCTCCCACTGACACTAACGATGGGGCACTATATTCCCACTGACACCAACGATGGGTCACTATTCCTCCCACTGACACCAATGTTGGGGCACTATTGCTCCCCCTGATACCAATGATGGGGCACTATTCCTCCCACTGACACCAATGATGGGGCACTATTCCTCTCACTGACACCAGTGTTGGGGCACTATTCCTTCCACTGATACCAGTGATGGGACACTTTTCCTCCCACTGACACCAGTGATGGGGCACTATTCCTCCCACTGACCCCAATGATGGGGCACTATTCCCCCCACTGACACCAATGATGGGGCACTATTCCCCCCACTGATACCAATGATGGGGGCACTATTCCCCCCACTGACACCAATGATGGGGCACTATTCCCCCCACTGACACCTATGATGGGGCACTATTCCTCCCACTGACACCAATGATGGGGCACTATTCCTCCCACTGACACCAATGATGGGGCACTATTCCTCCCACTGACACCAATGATGGGGCACTATTCCCCCCACTGACACCTATGATGGGGCACTATTCCCCCCCACTGACACCTATGATGGGGCACTATTCCTCCCACTGACACCAATGATGGGGCACTATTCCTACCACTGACACCAATGATGGGGCACTATTCCTCCCATTGACATCAGTGATGGGACACTATTCCTCCCACTGACACCAATGACGTGGCACTACTCCTCCCACTGCAAAATTACAGTTATGAAGTAGCAACGAAAATAATTTTATGGTTGGGGGTCACCACAACATGAGGAACTGTATTAAGGGGTCGCGGCATTAGAAAGGTTGAGAACCACTGCTCTAGATGCAGAAGACCGGTTGTGGTGTGAATTAAAATGCAGCCTAGAAATTGAACATATGGGAGTATATTTCAGTTTGTATGTTTGTACTTATTTGTATTTTATTTTATATAATTAGGCCCTTGGTACTGAAAACTTCCAGATGAAGCCAAACTAGGCAAAAGAAACATGTAGAAGCAAGTACGTTTCTGCTCAAGAACATGGAGTTTGAAGTGTTTTGTTTATAAAGTTTTCTATGGATCAGCAAATGTTGCTTTTTATAAAAGATGTTATTGCTATGCTATTTAATACAAATATTGTGATTATAAACAGTGTACAATGTTAATTTATCTTTGGCACCATGAAAATCCTGCTTCTACACCAAATATACAGTACGCTGCTTTATAATAACCCCCAGAATTGGTGCCAGTTTCCTCAATAATAACCTCTAGCATTGGTGCCAGTTTACACAATATTAATTCCTTGCATTGGTACCAGTTTTCCTCAATAACAACCACCAGATATGGTGCCAGTTTACTGCATTGGTGCCAGTTTACCAATATTACCCTCCAGCATTGGTGCCAGTGTACGCAATAAAACCCCCCAGCATTGGTGCTTGGCGACGCAATAATATCCCTCAGCATTGATGCCAGTTTCCTCAATAATAACCATCAGCATTGATACCAGGTTATGCAATAATAACCTCCAGATATGGTGCCAGTTTACTGCATTGGTGCCAGTTTACACAATATTACCCTCCAGCATTGGTGCCAGTGTATGCAATAAAAACCCCCAGCATTGGTGCTTGGTGACTCAATAATATCTCTCAGCATTGATGCCAGTTTCCTCTATAATAACCATCAGCATTGATACCAGGTTATGCAATAATAACCTCCAGCATTGGTGCCAGTTTGCACAATAATAATCTCCAGTGTTTGGTGCTATTTGGGCAATAATGCATGTCAGTGCAGTTATCATTTAAATGGTGTGACAGAACGAGACCCTGTCACTGTGAAAATGGAGGAGAATATGACACAGGATTCACATTAAGTGTTAATGTGAGCAGGGGCGGACTGACAACTCATGGGGCCCCCGGGCAATAGGGGATCATGGGGCCCCTGTGTCCTTGCCCACACTCAAAAAAGCCTATAAAAAAAGGTACCAGGGGCATTTCTTGGGGCCCCCTACTGACCCCGGGCCCTCGGGCAGTGCCTGAGTGCTCGAATGGTCAGTCTGCCCCTGAATGTGAGGTTCTGGACTACCGGTTCTGAGTGGAAAAATTGTGTTTTTGGTTTTCTCTGAAGTTTTTAGCTCTGGACTGGAGCCTTCAATCCTCTGTACTGATTTTAACAAGTGCTTGCAGGCTGTCTGAGTACACAGGTGTACAGTGTCATTATATACTCAAGCCTGAGGGCAGAAGGTCTCACCCAGGGGTCAGAGGAGCCCCAGCCAGGAGTCAAGAGACATATGGTCTCACCCAGGGGTCAAAGGTGCCCCAGCCAGCAACCAGGAGACAGGAGGTCTCATTCCAGGAGTTAGTTCAGTTCCTATCAGGGTGTCAGAAGAACCCCTATCCAGAGGCCAGGTTTGGGCCATGCAGCAGGAGGCGGTGACTAAAGGCTAAGAAAGCCAAGGGAACCAGTAGAGCTGGACACACAGTAAAAGAGGGATTGGTAAGAAAAGCAGTGGAGCTGCCAACAAGGGACCAGGTGGCTCTGTATTTTAATTTGACTATTCATATTGATGTAGAAGAACCCCTGCTTGGGCAACTGATGTCTATGTGAACTTTCCATTTTGTTTAATAAAAGTGGGCTGCCATGCCCTTAAATACAGTTTGGACTGTCACAACTTAATGGAAAAGCATCTGCCACATGAGTAATCTCCCCAATACCACAATGGCTAAATATGGGATTCTATCCAAGGCAATGCAATCAAACTCTTTGTACTAAAAAAAAACAAAATGGGTTTTCTCCTGCCCAAATATTTTGCCTTTATAGAAAAAAAATATATAAAAATGCTTGAAAACACAATCATTGTGAACAAGCCAAGGTTTATTTTCCCGGGAGTGAGATGTGGTCTGTAGCCATTTTACATTCACGCTCTGCTCAGTATGCAGCTGGCAGATTTGTAGGTGTCTGATCATTTACTCTTCTTGTGAAATACATAGGTCAAAGCACAGAGCAGCTATTCAAATATTGATTGCCAGAATGTAGTAACAGATTCTAATGAAGAACACTGTGTTTACAGGAATTCAGTGAATATTAACAGACGGAACGGAGGTCTCTCTGTTTATGTGATTCATTATTTGGATTGAAAAGATTTCAGTGACAGGAAATGCGGTAAAAATTCCAATAAACTTTCTATTTTTCCACCTCTCCTTGTACTTTCATTTTACCGTTTTAATGTTATTTTAAATAGAAGTTTTTCACAGGACTGATGTTGTACCATTCTTTCATTGGCATGTATAGTGATTTTGCATATATTTTTTTTTATTTTGTTTATAATTAAAATAGCAAGTTGACATATGTATCTAAACTGTTTTCCTGGAGTTCTGCTACCCACGTGGAAGAAAAATATATTTTAAATATATTTTAAAAATATTCTTCCCAAATATATTGACATACATTTGAAATACTACAATTTTGGCCGTATTTAATATATTTCAAAAATATATTTCAATATATATATATACTGTATGTTGAAATGCATTTTTATATATTAAAAAATATATGAAAAATATTTTTAAAAATACATTTTCAAATATATGTCTTTGAAAAATGCATTTAATCTACATTTATGGAATGCATTTGCAAATATATGTAAAAATATATGTTAAAATGAATGTTAAAAAAATCTTAAGAATATATTTAAAAAATATATATTTTTAAATATATGCCTTTAGAAAATATATTTAGATTTACATTTTGTAGAATACATGTTAAAATACATTAGCGTAGGTCAATATATTGTAAATATACGTCACATGTAAATTTTTTTCTCTAAATATATTGGAAATATATTTCTCTTCCATGCGGGTAGACATGGGCAAAAACCTTTCTGACTGCTCTTTTACTTATCTGAAGCCTGGTTCACTTGACAATCCTTCTTTCTTCTCTTTACTTCCTGTGGTCCTTCTTTCAGTGTCCACATAACTACCTGCACAATGAGGACATCTCCTAAAGGTGAAAGCGACATTTTCAGCTTCCGGGTCCTCTTTTATAGTTTCCAAAGGAAGGAGAGCTCATGGAGGACTGAAGGAAACTGTAACTTTCATCCATTACCCTACAGAATGGCTAAGGAAGAGGTGTTTGCAAACAAGCCTAAAAGTAAGGTAATTTATGTTTATGTACAAGGCTCCAGTTAAATTTATTTTCTTCTGGAGATGGGATTTAACTGATCCTAGGGAGAACAAGTTTGCTTGTGCAGAGCAGTCTATTCATTTGAATGGACTGCTGTGCAAGCATTTTCATGCAGGAAAAAATGTTCCTGCACCACTTTTAAAACACAGCCATGGGGAAATCGAATGGTGCTTCAACCAAAATGCGCTGTGCTTTCAGATGTGAGGGGGTCCCATTAAGAATGAATGGCAACCCCCTGAGTCTGCAAAGGTGCAGCGCAGTTTGGCTGCGGGTGGTTGTGGTGTTGGAACAGGTGCGATTTACATGCTGTCCAGCACACGCAACCTCGTAGCTACACACCACCTGCTTAAAATGCTGCTGCTACTACAATATACAATTGTACTTGCAAGTAAATATAATATTAACAAAGAAGTTGCTAAATGGAAATACGCTGCTGTCAATCACAGACAGTGAACCAATAAGGAGGGAGAGGGGGCAGGGCCAAGCCATGGCTCCATGTGTCAATGGACACCAAGCCTGTCTGGGTTCCCTGTAGCAAGCTGCTTGCTGTGGGGGCACTCAACAGGAGGAAGGGGCCAGGAAAGCTGGAGGGGGACCCGAGAAGAGGAGGATCTGAGCTGCTCTGTGCAAATCCACTGCACATAGCAGGTAAGTATAGACATGTTTATTATTTTAAAAGAAAGAAAAAAATGACTTTACAATCACTTTAATAATGTCTTCATCTTTTTTGCTGCACTCCTAATAGTTTATTTGACAATTCTTTACAATTAAGCTGAACTTCACTCTCTCAATCAACATTGACTATTTTTAATTCTTAGTCTGCTAGCATTAGTAAATAGATAGGAAAGAGTATCCTATTTATTGGTTTAATTTTTTTTTTTTTTATATTTCTTCAGTTACTTCCTGATTACCATGCCTAGGCAAATGATGTCATACATCCCAGGAGTCTTCAGGAAGGGAGGGAGGGTTCTCAGCTACATAAATCATCTGCCCTTACTCAAGATGGCCACTGCCAGAAATGCTAGGGGGTGTTGTTCAAAATAATTTCTCAGCAAGATAAGCAAAATGGAGACATGTTTGGATGGATGAGTTTGCCTTGAATATTAACAATGAATTAAATAGCATTTTTGGTTTGTGGTGGTCAGATGCAGTGCAGTTTCACTTTAAGCCCTGGTTCACACTATAACTTATAACTGCACTGCATTCTTGTAAAATTCACCTGCAATTCAGTGTAGTGCGATTCGAGCCCATTCATTTTGAATGGGCTCAAATCACACACCGCATCGCACCAAAAAAAGTGCATGCACCTTTTTTGGAGACGCACCTCAACAGCATCACATGGTCATTTGGTACCATGCAATTCAGGGCAGGCAAACCACACTGCATTTGCGGTCCTTTTGGGGTATTGTTAACTTTGTATTGACAGAAGAAAGCATTATCCAAGGTTTATTAAAAGTGTAAAAGGACAGAAAATATACTCACAAACATAGCATGTGTGTAAAGCCTATAAGGCCATAGAGATGGCCACAAGGATGGCAGAGTATCCATC